CGTACAGGTATAATGACTTCAAAATTACATGCGGAGAAAGTCACAGAGAGCATGGTATACATGAGTATTTGACCATAACTATTATTCACTCCTATGGATCTAAGCTTGATACATTTCGAACTGAGACACAAGTCATTTGGATTTTGTCAGTCACTATCGTCTCAGGCCATAGGAGTAAGTGTCAAAGTTTAGTTTAATTTGATTTGTAAAACCTTTTCTCGGTTTTATGTTATGTCGGGTGATGAAGCTTTGTTAGATGGCGTGCTTTATTATTGCCATTTGTAATAAATAGTTTCGTTTTGTTGTAGCTATTTGCCATTATGGAAGCTATTGGACATTATGGTAGTTATTGACCATTATGGCAGGTATTGACCATTATGGGAGTTATTGGACATTATCGGAGCTTATTGGACATTATTAGGATTGTCGATGTCTTATACGAGCTGACGATGATTTATTTGGGCTGATGGTGTCTTATTGGAGCTGACGATGTTTTATGGGAGATTTAGTGTCCGATAAGAGCTGACTGTAGCTACCCATGGTTTGATGTAGCTATCTGTATTGCGACAGGCCATCTATGTGTATGGATACATGTATGTATGTGAATGAATACATATAAGTGATCCGTGAAGTATATGAACGTGGATCGACAAACAAAAAAGATCTAGTGAAACTGCAGAGGTCCAGTTTTTATATTGAATAAACTGTAGAGCAACAATTTGTAAAGTGAATGACTTCCAGTTTACAGTAATGTGTGTTCATCTCTTTGTGTATTTAGTTGAACACAGTAATAGATTACGTAAATCTCAAAGCTTAATGTGTCACAAGAGATCACACGAATGTCTTTTTACATAATACATAATTTATTTATGCCTATCGTTTTAGGCTAGAGGCCAATGAATCATATTTTTGTATTTTTTTTCTTTCTTTATCATTTCGTGAGTGTGTGTGTGTAGGGTAGATTGCATCAATTGGATGATAGGAGTGTGAGATTCAGTGCATGTTATATATATATATATATATATATATATATATATATATATATATATATATATATATATATATATATATAAACTCCAATCATTCATCACTTTGTTTTTGTTGTTATTCATTCAGTCCAAATGGAGAAAACCCGCTCAGTTACAATTCTGCTACAGTAAGGGTCTATAATGTCACGGGTACCGTCTGCGTCAATACAGCAACTGGCAAGAACGCCAACCTCAACCTAGATTTCTCGATGTGAATTCATTGGGTGAAACGCGCGGCAACGCCTCAAGCTCCATACCACTATCTAAAAGCTATGGTGTCTGCCAGCTCGTGCAGTGTGTGTCAAGCACACCATCGTCGTAACCAATAAAAACACTTACAATTACGCCATCTTTCGTGCTAATGCCACTACTGAATAGGTCACGTCCTCAAATGAAGCCTGCACAAGCACAGTCACAGGTCGCGGAGTCTGACATGCTCAGTTTGATGCAAGACAGCAAGAGATCCTAGATTATTAGGCCTTATCTATAGTCTCCTGGCAAAGCGCTCGCGAAGGCCAGTTTCCTGGTAAGTACATGAATAGCAAGGTATCACCACGCTACGGTACAAAAGTCATATCTTCCAGGACATATCAGGACTAAATAACCAAGAGCTCAGTTCAGAAGTATTTGAAGAGCTCTATTACTGCGAAAAACCTACACATCAACGGCCACCATGAGCAGGCAGAGGAAATCCTTCCAAACTACTATATTTGGCAGAGAGGATTCTCCGGGATCTGGTGCAGGGCTTCGTGGTCATTCGTGTGTTGGACACTATAGCTATATGCAAAATTGCCATTTGGCAATATATTCTATTTATTTGATATCAACCATCTGCCTACTAGATTCTATAAAACTTTCCGCATCTTTGTCAACCACTTTGAAAGTTTTATCATGGACTTTTGCACAGGAAGCTCTATTCGCTAGATGAAATTGTTGGGAGGCTTTTTTCCGGTCCTGCAGCCAACCACATTAGACAAATGTGTCAAAACACACACCCTCTTAGGTAATTGGCGATCACAATCCATTTAACACAAGCAGATAGAAATCTTTAGGCGCTCCTCTGTTTCAAACGCTGACGACGTCTCACACTATAATCTCTCCTTCTACTAATGCAAAGCTTTTAGCAACAACTGTATTAACGCAGACCCAAAAGACCTGGACGTGGCTTTTGATGTCATAGGAAACCTTTAAACTTGGTCATGGACGTCTCTGCGTTCCTCACCAAACCAGGCAAATAATCTGCTAGCAACATTAGTCTTTGACGCCAATGGCGATGATGTTTGAGTGGAATTTATGTAAAATTCTGTTTTCGTCGGCGATGCCTCAAGGGTCTTAAAAACCGGTAATACAATTGGGCGTCATATTGTTAATGAACAACTTTATTGAACACGTCACGTGACCCAGTGATTCTGCAGCGAAATTATGCGTACTAGCATCCTCGTTAAGCCCGTCGCCTGCCTTTTAGAACTGGAGACTTTGGTGTCTCCTAGGCAATGCATTTGTTGTGGTCGGTAATCATAGTTATGTCTACCTTGGCGGTACTTATCAATTGGCATCACATATCGCATTATGCATCATTGTGCAGTAATGTACATAACGGTCTAGATTATCATATCAGCTAGCATAACCGTAGCACCTCTGGATTCTATCATTGGAATGTAATGCAGAAGTTTTAAAACTTTGTTGGGTTTATCATTGGCAATATCAACGATACTGACACAGTCCCCTGTGCTGTATTTTACTTCAATAGCCGCCGATGAAACTGCGGAGACAGGATATAAGCGAAGCTATCGATCAGTGTCAATGGAGTCTTACAGCGCACAATGACAGCACCATTTAGCCACAGTTTACGCCAGTCTCTCGCAAGATGCTTTACAATTAGTTTTGCATCTAAGCTAGCTGCTGGTAACATTTTATTTCTTATTATATTCCTAAATTGCATCTCTCCGATCTGTAACATGTCGTTTTCAAGCATTTGTCATAAATCTGAATTATGATGAGTAACAAATGATTTCTTACAATAATCTTTAAAACTATGGCTTATATAGAAGAGTTTTGTGTCAATAATATTTACTTTTATTTCTGGTACACTGACATTGCTCCATGGCAGGATAGTAATGGTGCTATTATTATCTCAATTTCTTTTTATGTGCCTATCTTTGACTGCATGCCATGATATGCATCTGATAAAAAAAAAATGTATGTACGTCTCTTTATCAACACCAAGGATAAATCCGTGGAATTGGATTGGTCAATCAAGATTGAATATAATGTTGTACACATCTTGTCTGACGTCTTCAATAATATCTAAAATCTCGTGCAGCTCACGCAACGTCAAAGGTAGATGCCTCGTACTTCCGCCTATAACTTCCTTCTCAAGCATATGTTAATCCTTCAAGGCTTCTCTCCCTTCATGCAATGGGCAATTTGCCTTTCTTAATTTTGTATAAACTCTTCAATTTATTTGCCATATTCAGCGTTTAAAGTCATATGTTCATGTTCCGAAAGGAGGCATTTAGTTAATTATTGTACTTTGACACCATTAGGTGTATAAATGAACAGGTTACTAATCATATTCAGACACAAAGAAAACATATTCAGCTTAGTTATACCTTTCTTATCTCTTTCGATATACATTGCTAAATTGTGTATTGTTTATTAACATATTTTTTGTTTCATTCTTTCCCTTGATGTATTACAATGTATTGTTTTTAAAATCGCTGGAAGTATAGTAATAAATCTACGACATTACGTATTGGCTGCAGGTACAGGTAAATTATCATCCCTATGTTCTATAGGGTTGAATATTTCTCATCTTTCCATATATGTAAGTTCGTGCTTTTTTAGTGTATGACTGATGGATAGCTCTGTCCTACCTCACACGTGACCTTTATCCTGACTCGTTGACTATTTTTTTTTTCTCTTTTTTTGGCGTTCTACTGCTAGAATAGTGCACACAAAGTAGCCAATACTTTCCGATTTACATTATCACTTGAACGTTCTTTCAAATTAATCACGATCAGCATTATTTGCAATACTTTTGCATACTAAAACAAATATTGGTTGAAGTTACGTGCCACGCAAACAGGTCGATGGGAAGATCGACCTAGCTACATTTACGGTTTCTTCAGTTTAATTTCGATTCGAGAAATTTTGTTGCTGTAATTGGTGTTTATTTTTTAAATTTATATTATCATTATTATATCTGAAGGGTAAATGACCGCAAGGTCAAAGTCTCAAATCATCTTATGGACAAGAGCGCACTTTATTTTTGACATTGTTCACATTTTTATCAGTGCGCATGTTATCCGCAGTACACAATTTGAACGTTGTGTATTAACAATACCAGTCTATAGATAAATAACGTGTCGTTTGTCAAGGTTATGTTGCACGTAGTACGTCATACATAGCACCTGATAGACTTTATTCATTAATCTAATGCAATATTTATACGGCAGTTGTTCGGTATTTATATTAACTTTGTTAGTTTTTAAAACTGCGTATGAGATAATATGTGACTAAACATAGAGCGATTGGACTTAATTCGCACTTGCAATGGTAGTATACACACATGATCTATCTTCCAAGATGATTGGGTCAAGTTCGAATAATCTGACAGATCTGACACATCATTAACCGGATGTGCATGTTACATGTCACAACGACAGTACATTTTACGTTACAGCCTTCCAGTTGTGTCAGACATACTGGGAAAATTAAAGTCTGATTTCTTCTGAAATGGTGATCAAAATGTGCTCAGATTTTATACATGCAATAAATAAAGGGAGCTTAGTCGATTGAATACGTATTAAACCATATCCGTATGCTTTCCTTTTTGTGTGCTAACTGATTTTGAAATATTAGTCTTTAGTAATTTTGTTTTACATGATCTGTGTTGCGAACAAATTTTTTTAATGTTATTTACGTTTCTTTTTAATTTATTTCCTCTTGAGAGTACATCAAGATGTTTTG